AACATTTGGGACATACATCATATTATGAATGAGTAGTCTCGTTTCTAATTTTTCTTAACGGTGTCTGGAGCAATATTTTGAAACAAGCTTTGAAAATGCTACAACATGACCATTTCGATTGCACTCGAGTATTGAAATTGTAATGTTGCTTTTTAGAATATGAAAAAAACTAATTACCAAGTGTCAACAAAATATGCTAATCTCCACTTCTTTATCGTGTTTTTTTCGTTACATGAAAGCAGCTACTCCAGTGGCTACCCGGTGTAAATGCAAACACTGTTTCCAAGAAAGAGCAAAAAGAAAATATGTGCGTCGATCAACTTACTTCCTCTTTATGTATAGTTTATGGGTGTGGGTGTCGATGGGTGGAGGATGTGGGTGCGATCTTAAATGTGCATATCAGGAAAAGCTTCCAGTGCCTCCATACACACTCATTTTTTTATGATAAGTACGTCAACGTGAGGTGTATTCACAAGAAAAATTTCAATTCCTCAAAAAACTTTAAATTTCTCAAGAGCGAAATAAAATGTTGTCAAACGGCTTGTACCAAAATTCTTATAACTGTTTCTTCTATCACGTATCTGAAATTGAGCAGAATCTGACGACCTCAATTGAGCAAATTCTACCGGAGCCAATCGTGGCTTATGTCGACTGGCTGATGTGAATACGTGATGTTCTACAATGTATTGCTTATAAAACTGCAGTATTTTGATTTGTTTGCCTTCTAATCATATATTTTGAACTCATATTAGGAGTGTCAATTTCTCTATCGAAAGACTTCTTTTTGCAAGGAAAAACAATTTTAAGATATAAACTTTGTTTTAAAAAGTTCAAAAACGAAAATCGTCAAATTACACGTACTGCTCTCGAAAATACAAGACCATGTTATCCCTATTTCCCAATAAGAAAAAAGCAAGAATAAGCATTTTTGTCGAAAAAAAGCAAACAAAATAGAAACACAAAAACTCAGCATAATTATTTCATGTTGTATATGGTCGGTTCACCTAATCCATTCGCTTGGTGGCCAATAAACGTGTAATGGACGCGTTAAAATTGAATTTTCGAAAATAACAAAGAAGTCTTTTTGTTTCCTCAAAAAAAAGAGAAGCAGCACTCATAACTCTTACTCTTTCTGTATAGTCTATATTGTCATCTTCAATTAAGAAAGTCGTTAGAGATTCAGAACAGTCATTGTCACAAGAGAAACCATGATCAACAACGTGTTTCAGTGTATGAAGTCGCAAGTTAGTCTCTTGAGAAAAATCACTTGCATTGGCTCCAGGAAAATGTGTGCCATATTTAAAGCATAAGAGTTGGAGATGTCGGTCGTTCGTCCTTTTGTAGAGGACTTTTTGAACTGTCTTGTGGATATTAAAAACCTGCAGTCATCTTAAGATTTAAGAAAATCTCACTAGAATCTTTCAAAAGTTAGTAATGAGCACCACGTGAACAACTTCTTTCGGTTCTTGAGTTATTTTAAAAATAATCAGGGCTATTACAGTTTTGTATAGACAGTAGTATAATTTTTAATGTGAAAAATAGAAGATGATAGTCTTTAAACTAACAGAATAAGTACGTTGAATACGGGACTTTTAAAAATAGAAATCCATTACAAGTCTATTTCTCTCAACATGTCAACTATTCTCTACCTCAGTGAGCACTAGGTTCCAAGAAAACTTTTCCTGTTGAAATAATTTAAGTAATGTAAGTGTTTAGATGCGAGCAAAAAAATTATGGTGTTACTTGAGATAAAAAATGCACTAGATGACAGATATGAACTAACAGAAAATTCAGAATAAATGACTTTTATAATAATTCAGTTTCTATCATTTGATATCAATACTTTTAATAGGATCTACACAGGATCTACTCATATAAATTGAAATTAACAAATGGTTAAAAAGATTGACAATCCTATCTTTACATTGGTGGCAGAGTTGAAGCACATGATTTGATGCTACCTGGGACTATTAGAAATGTCATAGTTCACTCAAAACACATTACAACAGTCAGACAAATTTAAGATATGATTATTTTTGTTTAATAATTCAAAGAAATTTAAAGACAGTTTCTTTTATTCAAGGATTTACTAAAAGATCCTCAAATAAAAAATAATAATAAGACTGTATAAGTCTTTTTTCGCAAACTTGTTATGAACTGATTATATATAATAACGTAAATACTATATGCCGTGATCTTCTCAATTTATTCTGCTAGTTTTAAATGACAACTACATTCATTTTCTTTTCTGGTTTAGTTTTAATACAATGCTGTTTTTGTCTGTTTTCTCTGTGCTATACCTTCTGTACTCTACATAAAAACATATTAAATATATGAAAGGAAAGAAAAAAATATTTCTTCTTGTTGATTGGATAATAACCCAACTCGTTTCATTGATGTGTTGTGCGCCAGTCTATAAGTAGAAACACAACAACAAGAAAATTTTTTTTTTCTTTCGTTCTATATATTTAATGTGTTTCTATGTAGAGCACAGAACGCATAACATAGAAGGAAGAGATAAAAAAGCACTGCATTAAAACTCAGAGAAAAACAACGTAGTTGCATTATTCGCTTGTGAACCTCTTTACAAGAGAAATGTTGTCTGCTTTTCATATATATTACTTAGAGCCATCCAAAAATACTAGTGTCATCAATTAATTCCCGTATAGAAAGCTTGAAAAAAATTCTTTTTTTTTATGTAGTAATAAAGAAAGTGATGCTCTATATTCTTTCAGTTGTTTGATCACTGTCTAACTAATTTCATGACAATAAAATTTCGATAAGACTGTTTTAGTGTAAAACTTACTATAACGTTAGATCATAGTATCATCTATATGTTTTCTCTTTTTTTCTTATCTTCACTTTTCTTCGTCTTTTTTTCTAGGTTTAGAAACATGTAATCATAGTTATTTGAATTAGAAATAACAAGACTTCGAAAAACAATATATAATTTACAATGGCAATATTTCAAACAAAAAAAGATTTTCAATCGTTATTTAAATCAAATTCATTTTCGACTATTGATGGTTTAAGAGCATTAGCTAGTTTATCTATTGTTTACCTTCATGTCTCTCAATTTTTCGTTCTATTTATACCATTGTATCCAGATAAGGAATGGTTCAATTACTTAAAATCAAATGCATTCGTATTTGGAGTCACTTTTATGAATAGCTTGGAAATATTCTTTGTTTTAAGTGGTTTTTTACTAACGTATTCTATACTAACGAACAATAATAATAATGATACAAATTATTTTCCATTTATTTTAAAACGTTTATTACGTTATTATCCTGGTTTCATAATGATGTTCTTATATATGCATTTATTTGGTGATCTAGAACCAGCTTATATACGAAATTCAAGATCTACCATCTCAAACTATTTTGTTCATCTGTTACTCATAGTGAATTATACCAAACTTGATTATTGGTTTCATTCATTGCGTATCAATTGGTCTAATTGCGTCGACTTTCATGTATATATTATGTTATCTTTGGTACTTCGACTATTGTGGGTCAAATATAAATTAACATTAAATCAAATCATGAGAGTCTTAATATGTTTATTACTATTATCTGTTATCATTTGTTATTATTCTTTTGATTCCTCAATAGAGCTCATGAAGCTCGGTACTCAGTCACATCCAATCTATCAAACAAATTATGAACACTCAAAGGCACTATTTGATTCTTATAACTTGACATTTCCGGTAAATAAGTCACAATTTGTTGATCGTTATAAAGTATCAAGTTTTACCAAGTTTTATACTCCTACACATGTACGTTATGGCAGTTTCATTACTGGTTCCATTATGGCTGTCAAATTATTAATTAACAAAAAACAGAACTTTGCCAACGGCAACAGAATAAAAAAGTATCTTTATTGGACCTTATCCTTATTCTTATTTATAATAATTAGTTTACGTCCAAACTTGAATCAATCAGATCCACCCATACTGTTAGTTTGTTCAATAAGACAGTTACTTTCGATGGCTATTGCTTATGTTTCATACACAACATTAGTGGATGAAAAAGCTATTTATTATAACAAATATTTAAATCGATTATTATCATCAAAATTTTTAATACCATTTTCAAAACTAAGTTATTTAGTTTATTTAATTCATTTGCGTGTTGCATCTGATCTTATTGGCAACGGACCATTAAGAAAAATGAAAAATTATCACATTGATATAGCTTCACCGATTTGTTTTCTAGTTACATTGATTATATCAGAAGTCATAGCCGCTTGCTGGTATTGTCTTGTGGAGCAACCATTCATCAGACTTACAAACAGATTATTAATGACATCGAAGAAAAAGAAATAATTTTTATTTATTCGATAGACAATAAGAATATCATTTTAATGTTCGGCTGTTAGAAGGAACATTAAGATTATTAATGTATCTTTTGCAATAGAAAATAGAGAAACTTTGATTATTTTGTAAGAGAAAAATAGCAAGAGGGTGAGGGTGTGAGTGAATGGATGTGGATGCCGATAAAATGAAGAACTACATCCATTCCTACACCCATATCTATTTGTTGGTAATTGTTAATGAGCGACATTATTCTACAGTATATAGACTGCATGATTATGTCTACTCGAACACATATCGTGTCGATACAAACAGAAAGAAAAACAAAGTGTAAGGATACTCCAGATATCGCAATCATCAACAACTATATTTAGTAAAATGCATAAATGCAAAGATTAGGGTGGATGCAGGCGTGGACTTGATGAAGAAAGAGTAACACTTACAGACCGACATTCAGCAAGAAATAACAAACATCAATAAATCCGGCAAAGAATCGAAATATGTCGTATGATTTCCTTGAATTATTCTTTCATCCTTGTAAACACACCCACATTCTGAATATCAACCAGTTTACACAAGATAACGAACGTTTTCCTTCGATATCAAATTGAAATCAATATGGAAATAGTGATTAATCGTTTATTGATCATAAAATTCTTTTTTTTTCAAAAATGCAACAAAATCATTACATCATTTCATCGATAGAACAAACACGATTTTCACGACGTGCACGTTCAGCAGCAAATGCTAAAATATGACTTGTCAATGAATCCTGTGGTGTAGTACAAATCAAATCCGATCGATTCGAAGCCACTGCACGTATAAATGAATCCATCGCAAAAAAATCTGCATCAGCATGACCACTAGTCATTATTCCACTACTTGATAAATCAGTTTCATCATAGATGGTTCGAGTTTGTTTCAAAAAGTCATAATGTTCGATTGTATTTTCACCACTCCATGTCAATTCACCGTGTGTACCAAATAGACGAGATGTACGACGCCAACTATGCTGAGTGAAAGCTACCATTTGCATTGTTGCCGTTGAGCCTAAAATTTATCAAGGTGTGCAAGTAAGAGTAGATGTAGAATATGGATCTCTTCATCTCATACTCTGGCTGATTAAGACGACAACGTCGGATCAAAAAAGTAAATTTTTACTCAGTTTCTGGACTTCTTAATTGACTCATGAGTGCTCTGATCGATAAGTGTTGGAATCGAGCAACTCGAGAAATTTCATCTCATATATAAAAAAATAGTTATCCAAGGGGTTCGAAAGTTATTCCTATAGTACTTGTTCGTTTGATGATCGACAAGGTCAGTCTCCCTATGATACGCAAGCTGCTCAACAACGCTATAAAATGGTAACAAAACGCCTAAAAAAATGTTTTACATAATGCTGGAGTTCTCAGTAACAGGATTCATATTTCGAGTAGATCCACGTACGATCATTCTCATTAGTAGGATAGTCGGAGATCTCAAAACTCAGTCGTACCCTTTTCTGAGTTAAACAACTAAATACAAACAACATGAGTTGAGCCAGTAAACAGAAGAGTTTTTTTACAGAAAATAATTATATCTAGCCGTAACAAAAACCACGGTTAATTGCACGATACAATTCGAAAATGCTAGATAATCACAAAGCAATGAGGGATTGATTGGTATTTTTTCAAAGAATATTCCTTCTTTTGTTTATGCGGTCTTTGTCCGAGACCGAATCATGTACTGATGCAGATGAAAATATCTTCTATGAAATACGAATTGTTGTTGAGTGTTCAAATGCAGAGAAATCATTTTGAAGTAACTTGACCTCTACCAGAGACTCTGACAAAGGTGTTGGTATTACTTAATGCTATCACAGACAATAAGAAATATATGAGAAAAAATTGCTTAGCGTCAGAGACCACAACAAACATATCATCATAATTCTTTCGACCTCGGCCCGGGACACGATACAAGAGGTGCATCTAGGGTGACATTCATATGAGAACATAGACCAGCAATTAATGAGAATTGACATTATAAATGAGTAATGTACAATGATATCATAAGCATTGTCTAACAGCACAGTGTTTATCAAATCAGTTGTAGCGTTCGTGTATTGGTAAAATCCAGCCAATTAGAAAAATTCAAGTCTAATACCATATTTGCTCTATGTAACAAGGGGAAATTTTACTACTAGTATTCTCCTAGTGTAACATGCATTCAAGGACAGTGTAATTTGTGTGAAATTAGACCAAACAGTGTTTCCTAGTTCTGAACTTTGTTTATACGATTTTGTAACACTTTTGAAGAGCTTTCGAACCATAAGGAAACTAGCCTTGCCGATCATCAAATCCGTAGATGACTATACTTAACAAGTTTACTCCTTATACATATGACAGCTTGAAAGAATTGACTATTTCAATTAGGCTGTAGACAGCACGAATAAGTACTATAGGAGTAACTTTCGAACCTCTTGGATAACTGTTTTTTTATATAAGAAATGAGGTTTCTCGAGTTGGTCGATTACAGTATTTATCAACCTTCGTTCCTTTGTTGCAAATCTGAACTATAATTTTCACTCTTTTCATTCATTTTTGAAAAACAAAATTTACCGTCGTCAAAATTCAGTATTACCACTTGTTGATCGACAACATCATTATCGCAATCACCATATACACATTTACCATAATGACCTGTTTCAAGTGCTTTTATTACTTTTGTCCGTATACTAGTCCTATCTTCGCCATCTTCAATATCTGGTACTACCACTGACACTGGAAAACCTCGATTTGGTATGTCCAAATAGAGCTTTTTCGCTGAATAAGGACAAGTCTGTTCGACCGAGCAAGTTAAACATCGTTCACTAGCACCATCTGGTTTGTTTTCTTTTGTAAAGTGCGTAAGTTTACCAAAACTTGATACATAGATACATCGTCGTGGTTGCATCCAATATTGAATAAGGTCAAGATCATGACAACATTTAGTAAGAAGTGAAAATGAACTGTCGCGTTCACTATGCCAATTACCACGAACGTACGCATGAGCGAAACTCCAGAATCCTGAAAAAATTAAATATTTTTTATGGCATTGTATATGCACTAAAAAAGAATAGAATTACCGACACCCTCAATGTGTTGAATTGAAACAAGTTTTCCAATGACATTATTATCAAGTAGCTGTTTGATTTTTTTTACAACAGGTAAATAACGCAGAACATGACAGACAGCTAAAATAACATTATGTTCTTGACATACGGCGACAATACGTTTGCAATGTTCGAGTTTTGTAGCCATTGGTTTTTCGAGCAGAATATGATAACCTTTAGCAGCAAGCTCTAGTGCGGCTTCATAATGTTCTCGATCAGGCAATGTAATGATGGCACAATCGGCCAAACGTGAAACGTCCGGTGCAATCAATCGATGCCAATCATCATAGACATGCTGATCATCGAGTGAATACAGCTGTTGAAGTTTATGACGAACTGATGGTCGAGGTTCCGCAATAGCAACTAGTCGAAAACGATTAGGCAGATGTCGAGCATATTCAGCATATGTTTGACCACGGCTACCACAGCCAAGAATAATACCGGTTACTTGTCGTTGCAAGGAGTTCTTATCATTCATCGCGCTGATAAATACGGGACACATGAATGAGACACTCTGTCAACTCTTTATATTACTCGTTATCAGAAAATGGATACGTTCTCATTGGCTAGAACAGTATATCCTATCAGTTTTCGATACTGGTAATAGTTCACTTTCTTTTGGGTGTGGGATGTGGGTGTGGATTGAAATGCGACCAGTAAGAAGACAATAGCTACACCCCACACCCACACCTACACTCTTTTGTAGCGATTAGTTCTCGCTCGTCCATTTTTGCAAGATGCACTGAGTTTGTGAAATTGCGACTGTTCAATGATCAAGTACAGCCTTATTCTGGGGTCCATCAGTATTGGAATTTTATGAGTAATTTTATTCTATAAAATCTGCTTTCTTTTACACTTCTTATGTTACAAAACTGAATAATCATACAATTTGTATGGATATACCACGCATAGAAAAGTAACGAGAAAATAGAGCAATAAATAGCTTAGACAGAAAAGAACAGCAGAACATAAATAGCAAATAAGATATACAAAAAGAACAACATTATTTTTACTCTTAGTGTGAGTCGGATAGAATCTGAATGAAGGTTTTCTCATCGTACCTTCTGAATTGCGGACACTTTTCACACCAATTAGTGAAAAATGGCCGCACTTTGGAATGATTGAATATGAGCTATCTCATTTTTATCGTGTTTCCAAAAAGCGGACACTTTTTAATTAAGAAATAATCAATAGGCATTATAAGACAGCTTGATTCATTCAATTGCATCTGTAAAGAATAATTTATTCAAAGAAATACTATATATATACAAAAAAAAACATAGCAAAACAATTACTCCTCATCACTACTATCTTTCGAATGAATTAGAACATCAATGTAGCGATGACAAATGCTGCGTAATACCTTTCCATATGACTCAAAATCTTGATCTTGCAAAGATTTTAATTTTGCTGCTTTAAGTTTTGCATCGTCGCGAATATCTATTGCCTTTCTGGGTCTTGTTGTACGCTGTTGAGCTTGTTCTTGCTCGTGACGAATCATTACTGATTCTTTAGACGATTTAATTTCGTTGAACCATGTCCAGAGATCTGGATGTACTCGAATACGTGCATTTAACTGTCTGTCCCAGCCTTCAAGATGATTGTTGGTCCTTGATCTTTCACCAATGGAATCAAAATGATTCCATAAAACAGATGAAAAACGACCATCTTCAACATAAGTGTTTAATACATAATCTGTTAATTTATCAAACTTCGAATCAATATTAGATAATACATCAATTATACGCTCCATGAAGTTATTAATTTCGTTTGTTGGCACCAAAGGTAAACTAATAATGTTGGCTATTTGTCTTCTAATATTTTGTTCTTTAGATAATTTTGTAAGACCATACTTCTTCACTTTCTTCCAAATGTTTTGGGCAAAATGAAAATGGCAACATTTAACAACTGTTCTTGGAAATACTTGATTTATTGCATTAATAGCAGATTGTTCAAAATCAATTAATATTGAGGTGGGATTCAAAGTAACATTTTTTTTTCGTTGCATATTGAACAAGTGACTGATATAAATTGACGTAAGTTTCTTCTGATTTGTCTTGACAACATGAATAGACGATAGGCTTCATGCTGTACTCATCCCACACGTGTATGTAATAAGCTTGAGAAAATAATGATGGTGCTGTACGAAAGGTTCCATCAGCATTCCAGTGATGATTTTTACTTAATATTTTTAGTGCTGATTCTGATGCGAAGGCGATAATCTTGTGTGGTGCGTTGGTATAACAAAATAAAAGTTGTTCATGAGAATGAGTAAACGACATAATATCAGGAATTGTAATTGAATCTATCGATGTTGGTACTGAAGGTACAGTTGTTTTACGAATAGAATATAAGGTTGATCTCCAAGCATCAAAAACTGGAATAGTAGCAGCTGAACCATTTACACGACGCTAGAATGAAAATGTGCAGTTTGACAAACTCATGATTGAGTATTACTCAAGAACATTGAATACTCACAAACCTTTTAACTTCTTCTTCGTAAATTTTGCCTATTGGTACATCCACATCGGCTAATACACGACGTTTTATTCCAGTTAATACAACCTCTACATTATCATTTAGTTTTGGATCATGATCATGAGTTATACCGTTACATTTTATTATTGTATCATTTTGTAAAGTAACACTTCGAGTACAAGATTTATTTGTACAAACATATAAAGATATACCCTTTTGAGTTTCACGTTTCATTCGATATAAGTAATTATTATACAATATTGCTTTTTCACCCTTTTGGGTTGTTGAGAAAGTAAAACTTGTAGTCATTGTATCAATTATGAAATGTTCTGTTATTTCTCATCGTTTTATAAGTTCATCAATTATACATATCTCATAATCTTATTTCACAATAACTAATTAATTAAAAAAGTGTCCGCTTTTTGGAAACGCAATAAAAATGAGATAACCTATATTCAATCATTCCAAAATGCGGCCATTTTTCACTAATTGGTGTGAAAAGTGTCCGCAATTAGTACAGATCCTTTCTCATTCGTTTCGCTCTCTGGTGACGACTACGCTTATTTTTTTGATTACTCTACTCGATAGGAAAGATTGCGATAATCATTTTGCGTTTTTTTATGGATAAATTGAGACAATTGGTTATATTACATCATTAACATAAACACATGTTTTCATCCCACAAATATCTTATCATATTCAACTGTGCATTTGAAACCTATAAATATGCGACCAATGAGTAAAACCATGCGCCCAACTTTTGATTATGTGTGAGCATCAGGTAAAAATATGTAAGTAGATATTGATAATTGCAAATCATATGAATTTCTTACACAAAATACTCTCTACATATAATTCAAAAATTGTAGTACTAAGAGCCCATAATCATTTTTTTCATTATTTAAAAATATCAGTCACATTATTTCAGTTAACATCAATGAATTATATTAACAACAATAAAAAATGAAGATCATGTTAATATGTAGGAGTGTTAAAACATTTCCTGATTGTAGTGGTGTTTCATTTGCGACAATTTGATTTTCAAGTCATCTCCCACCTATCCTACACCTACCAAGTAATTTCGATAACGGTAACTCATACATTTCGGACCTCCGTTCTTTTATCGTTTAAAATTAGAGATAAATAATGAAATCTTATTGAAGTTATGCGATAACATCTGTTGTAATGATGAATTTTTAACGATTCTGTGAGTCAAACCATGTTGTTGACATAATTCAAAGATCATGCTGGAAGAAAAATAAGAGAGAGATTGTGGGTGTGGTTGAAGTTAAATCTCACACCCACATCCACACTCAACAGCTGTGTTGTATAATTGTGTTCACGAGATCCAATTTATCGGAAAACTCTTGATAGATAGTTTTGCAAGTGAGCTTTAAAAATCTAAGAGAGATGGTAATAAAATAATCAGAGTTTATTTTTCACAAATTTGATGCTTTGAAGATAGTCTGGCGATGACGAATTATTCAATAGAAGAGATTTCCGATGAATTGCAGCAACAGTAACTTTTTCAAGACACACAGATGTCGTTAAGTAATCGCTTTGGGTGTGGGTGTGGGTGTAGGTGGATACAGGTTCCCTGCTCATCCATACTCACACCCTCTTGATTATTTTATCAATCTTTAAGATTGTGTACACCTTAATTGCATCCTTTTGTATATTTTCTCATTTCATGATACTTTTATCAACATATAATTCTGCGTGTGCTAAAATTGTTTAGCGTGTGGATGTGGGTGGTGTGAGTGTGGGCGTGGTTTTTTTTGGTTTTACTCTCTTCATAAACATGCACATACAGGCGCACACGCGCACTTCACATCTGCACCCACATTCACATTCACACCCACACTAACACCCATACCCACAGCCACACCCCACAACCACACCCACCCCACACCTACATCCCGCAACTGAATCGGAGTGTTACCTCCACCTTGTTCCCACATCCACACCCTATTTAACATAGTAACAAGCCAACAAAACCTACCCGTTGAGCTACTTAGATTTTTCATTTAAATTCAAATGCAAAAAAAAAAACCTTTTCAATATTTTTATCAGATATACTCGTAAATTTGTCTTAACAGCTCGTCAACTTAATTCTGTTTGCAATGTCAGTAGCAAGTGTCGCAATTATTCATAAAAAATAAAGATACTATTTTATCAGTCGTCACTGATAAGATGATTTTAAACTCTGACTTTTAAAAGAAAAAAAAACACTTTTTGTAAAAAATAAAGAAAAATAAAATGCAATAACACAAAACTTGCTTTCAGTTCCTGTTACTACATATTCTAAAGTTTTTGAATCGTGTTTTACATATCATAATCATCTTTCAACAATCAATATGTATTTACTATCGCAATCCAACCTATTATTATTATTATTTGCTACTTTTTTATGTAATGCAACACTGTATGAATGTGACAAAATTAATAAAGAAGATCCAGTGCAATATAGTTCGTCTATAATGGTATCAATTAGATATGATTGTCAACACAAGAATGATTCCAAGACAGACTGTTGTCGTGGAACAATTCTTACTGAATCATATATTCTTACAACAGCTGATTGCATTGATAGCTTACCGAGTGATATATCATTAGTTGATGTGACAATTGTTGCTGGTATTCACCATCGATTTAAATCAGATCAAATAATTCGACAAGTTGATCGTATTATTATTCATCCAAACTGGAAAAATGATCGTAATATTCAAAAGCATAATATTGCACTCTTACATTTATCAACTTCACTGGATTTCACCATAGATAAATATATTACTCGAATATGTCGATCAAAAGGCTTCAGTTTACTGAAAGATGTTTTACAATATCCATCAAATAGTACTCGATTATTGGTTATGGAATGGGATCGTACTAAAGAACGCCCTGATACTATAGCATCTATGAGTCTACAACAGTATGAAGTATCTTTAGTGGATAACAATGATCCAATATGCCAAAGATTGGTTTATCATGTCGAACAACAATTTTGTGCGAGATTTTATCACAATACCAAAGGTTTGTTTTGAATAAATTTCATTAACATTATATCGGTTTTTGCTTTCTATAGATTCATGTAAGCGTACGTATTATGTCTAAAATACAATTGATAGTCTCTGTGAAAAATTGATTTTAACTTATTAGATAAACCTGGAGAGCCCATTTTACAAATGATTAACAATCGTTGGATGCAGGTAAAAAATTTATCATATAAAATGATGCTTAAAAGTAAATGTATCTTTTTCCAAGCAAAAATTTTCTAAATAATGAATCCTATTCTCTAATATGTTTCACATGGTTTACTTCGCTTAATTCTTTGTTATTTTCTAGAAACTGTTTATTTATTTTAATGATTTCCAATCTTTTAAGAAATCGAGAAAAATATTTTTTTTTACATCCGAATGATTTGTTTTCCGTTAGGTTGGTATATTAAATTTTGTTGCAGAAGAAAGAAGTGGGACTTGCCTTGGTATTTATACTAGATTGTCATATTATCTTGAATGGATAGAGTCTGTTCTAAATTTAAACAGTCTTACATCTTCATCGATTGCAAGAAATATTGATTCGATTACAAACCGTGCCATAACTTATAAATGTAATCGATTAATGGTATCATGTGGTTGTAGTAAAGAAAATGTTGAATTATCATCTGCAAAAATTATTGGTGGCGAAGAAGCAATTCCATTCAGTTGGTCGATGATTGTATCTATTCGTTTGAACAATTTCGACGAGCATTCATGCGCTGGAACAATTCTTACTGAATCATATATTTTAACATCAGCACATTGTGTTGCTGGTACATTGGTATGGGATGTATCTATTGCTGCTGGTATGCATAATCGAATCACAGATTTCTCAATGATTCGTTATGTAACTGAGATTTATATACATCCTAATTGGAGTGGAAATGATGGTACTTATCGCAATGATATTGCAATATTACGTATTTCTCCACCATTATCTATGCCAGGTATTTTAGGTCTTACTCGAATATGTGTGCCATATATTAATTCAATGGCTGAAACAGTAAACTATCCATCGACTGGTAGTCATTTAGTTATTGTTGGCTGGGGCTCAACCCAATATGATTACAATAGTACGTCTGATACACTTCAACAAACTAGTATATATATGATTGATAACAATGATCCTATCTGTCAAGAATCGATTCATGATGTAGAAAAGCAATTTTGTGCTGGAATGTCTGGATACAGTAATAAAAAACATCTTTATTGTTTTTTATTTCTAAGAAATATTTTTCTTTATTATTTCTTTTAGATCCATGTCAAGGTAAGTATAAATATCAGAAGTGTATACTTGATACAAAAATTGAATTTTAGGTGATTCGGGTGGTCCAGTTTTTCAATGGAAGGGTACTTATTGGGAACAAGTAAGATCTTTGATCTTTCAATCTTGCAGTTTTTAAGTGTATATTATAGGTAGGCATTATAAGTCATGGAGGAGAATGTAATCGTAATGCTTCTACGGGTATTTTTACCCGATTGGCTTATTATTTCGATTGGATGGAATCTGTAATAGGTAGTTCACTAACTACAACTACATTAAGACCTCCTCCAATCCCAACGTCATATGCATGTAATAAGACATCATCATGTGGTTGTGGTAAGGCTGATGTAGTTCTAACATCTTCTCGTATTGTTGGCGGTGAAAATGCCATTGATGATAGTTGGCCAATGATTGTATCTCTTCGTTTGGAAGGCACTAATGATCATTCATGTGGAGGAACAATATTATCTAATTCATATATTCTTACTGCTGCTCATTGTCTTCGTAGAATATCCACAGAACATCCAGCGGGTATTACTATTGAAGCAGGAATGACAAATAGATCAGATCCATTACAAATTATACGTAATGTTGATCGAATTTATATGCATCCAAATTATACAAGTATACCAAATGATTATCGTCATGATATTGCTCTATTACATATTGATGAACCATTCGTATTTGAATCAAATTCAAGATTGACGAGAACATGTATTCATTATATTGATCCATCAATATCACAAGCTCAATATCCAAAGAATGGTACTCGTCTTGTTGTTATTGGATGGGGTGTACTTCGCTATCAAACTAGCTATCTTCCGGAAATTCTTCAACAAGCACAAGTCTTTACAATTGATAATCAAGATCCGATATGTTTGAATTCTATGAATGACAGTAAATTACATTTCTGTGCTGGATTATATGAAGGTGGAAAAGGTTCGTATTTCATTAGGTTTTTTTCAAAAATATTTACTCAGTTTTTTTCTTGTTTTAGATTCTTGTCAAGGTATAATTGAAAGTATATTTCATTTTAGTATAATTATTGTCTATAGGTGACTCCGGTGGGCCAATATTTCAATGGACAGGACAGTATTGGGAACAAGTAGGTATTGTATCATATGGCAAGAATTGTGGACTAGCTACTTCTCCAGGTATATATACTCGACTATCTTATTATTATGACTGGATAGAAGAAATTCTCAAACGTGACGGTGAACATTTGGAACCGACTACGCTACAAGATGTAACTACAATGAAGCCTACCAATACTTCATACCAATCATCTTCTACCACTACATTGAATAATGTATACAGATATGAATTTAATATTTTGATATATGGACTCTTTATTTGTTTATTTTTGTCATATCAAATGTAAAAAGCGCACATCATATAAACATGTTTTTTTCGATATAATAATACTTACAAGGCAGCGCTCATCCTAAGGATTCGCTGACCTTTTTTTGAAAGAGAACATCATTCATTTCTTGGAAATTTGTCTATAAAGATATTTTCAAAGTCAGTTGATGTCACGGATATTTTACCGAACAAATTTATAGCTTCTTTCTATTACCAACATAACTGGATGATCGCAGCGTCTGTGTACCTAAACTGTGTGGCTGGATGTGGTTACAAGAGTGGGTACAGTTGTGACTGTCTGTATGAGTGTGTATCTCTTTGTCACTAATACGCAACCAAGCACACATCCACAAGTCCAAAAATAGAAAGTTAGCTTCTGATTGGCGAAATTTCGGTCAATGGTAACTCGAATAGAAAATTCAACTTCAGATTTGGATTCCTGGTCCTCGATAACCTATAGCAAAGTTCCATCAAAACGACCAAAATCCTAGAAATAGAAAAGCTCATTTTTGATTAGCTTAGACATACAAACAAATAAGCATACATTGATGTTTTCATGTAACACCCTTCTTTCAGAAAAAGGAATAAATAAGAATTTCAATGATATAAACATCTTGAAAGGCAATACTGTCATAGTGTTGCCAATCAGACTTGGCAAAAATCAACGCTTATTCTTTCATTTGTTAGTGTCTTTATTCAATTTCACAATTAAGAAGAGGGTGTGGGTGTGAGGTGGGTGTGTGGGTAGGGTGTGGGTGTGTGGGTGTGGGTGTGGGTGTGGGGTGTGTGGTATGGGCGTGGGTATGAGTGTTTCATTGATGCGCAAACACACCCACCCACCCACACAGACACCCACACCCTCGACTGCATCGTAGTTACGCTCAGAGCTCATTCTGCATCGCAGTTACGCGTAAAGGCGGCACAGTTACCGCAGTGAAAGCTTATGCGAAAAGCTACTGTTACTGCGATGCAGTTGCACGAAACTGTGTCGCAGTATGCGCACCGTAAGATCCATCGTAATTAATACCAACCAATTATAAGTGGTCCTTTCTTTTTTATAATTGGACACACTCTAGCACAATAATTGAGCCGTACAAAGACTATAAAAGTCATTCTCTGTCAGAATTCTGTTCATAATTTATTCCGTCGTGATGGACGAAATGTATTCCGATTGTAATATTTTAATATGATTTTAGCTTTTCGCAATTTTTAGTGGCTTTTAATTTTGATTTTGTTCACAATAAATTTAAATTTTTTAATCAATTTCCTTTTGATTTCAAATTTTTCCTTTTAATTTTTAAAATTTTAAATTTTAAAAAATTTTTCAGAATTGGATTTTTTAAATTTTCTAATTTAAATTTCCTTTATATTTTTAATATTTTTTTGATTTGTCTAGGATTTTTAATTCAAAAAAAATTTAGTATTAATTTTTCAATTTATTTTGCTAAACTTTTAAAATTTATTCAATTTTTATTTTTTTGGTTCTTGTTAAATTAAATTTGGAAAAGTTTCTTGTTGTTTAAAATTTTGTAATTTTTGAAGTTTTTGCATAAACGTTTATTTTTTTAAATTTTATTATTGTTTCCATTTCCTAATTTTTTGTATTGTAAAAAAAATATTTATAATTTGTAATAAAAACTGCCGTAAAAACCTCACATGCATTGATTGTTTTTATTGGAACTGCGATCGCAGTTACGGCGCAACTGCGTCGCACTTCAATCGTAATCGAACATATGGGTATATGCGTCTAATCGGTAGGGTGTCAGAAGAAGGAATATGTCAACAATTACATAGAACAAAAGTCGGATTAACTGGCTTTAATTGCTTTTTTTCCGTTAAAGCGCCATTCCTTTTGGTATTGCCTGAGTATTATAATGTTATTATTCTGTCTTTTTTGTCCTATCATGATGATTGAGAAAAGAGATAATAGAGAATCGCAGTTCAAAGTCTATAGGCATGAGTGTAAAAAAAGACCAGGTATATATCTAGGTGTTTTTATCCTCTTCAAATAATGTCAATATGGCAATCGAACCTTATTTTTTTCGCATCTCACAATGATACTGGGTTTTTGTTTCTCTTCATCATATCTATGCCCACGCATCGAATAGTATTTAAAGAAATCGAATCGACAGAAAGAAGTAAAGTAATCAGCTAAGAATCTGCATTCGAGACAAAAAAAAACGATACAGTACCAAAAATGCTTGTCAACAACGTTGTTGTTTTGTTCATGATAACATATGTTGCTGCTCAACAAACTTGTCAACTGACTGATCCGGATATTCTTGGACCCTACTATCTTCCTGGTGCACCTACATCTAAAGAGCAACTTTGCGCCAATGTACCGGCACATGATCGATTGATTTTAACTGGACAAGTACTCGATTACGAATCGAAATGTCAACGTGGTGTTCCCAATGTGAAATTGGATTTATGGCAGGTAAAGGTTCTTGTCGAATTGAAAAAATAATTCGATCCATGTGTATTACTCTAGGCTAATTACAATGGTGTGTATTCTGGTGGTCAGAATGCTAATGATTGGTGGTGTCGAGGTATCATTAAAACGGATTCCAATGGCAAATTTCGTATTACTACTCTGTTTCCTGGCCGTAAGTGTGACTTGTTTAGAATTATTAGATATATGAGATACTCTAATTCTAAGGCTACGATGACGGTGGTTACCGTCCGGCTCACATTCATTTCAAGGTTACTGCTGAAGGTTATCCAACATTAGTAACCCAATTGTATTTCAATCTTGATTATTATCTCTCACCACGTGATTCATGCAAACGCTGTAAGCATAATTTTTTGTAATAGAAAAAGAAAAATCTCGAATTTATAAACATTTTTCCAGGTCGTAGCAATGCCAAATCGTTGGTGGTATCAGCTGTACATCGTGATGATATCAAAACATTCGAAGGTAATTGGAATATTGTCTTGTCGAAAACTCAAAGAGCTGTCTCACGAGCGATAACACGTGAAACATTGAACCGAGGCTCATATATTCACGTGAAGGAACATATCATGCACTCGCGTCGCCCAACAACTATCGGTGAATTACTCAATGCGTGACAGTAACAACCATAGATAGAATTGTTGTGTCATGAAAAACATTGCAATTATACTATTGATCTGTCTTTTTATTCTAACTAACATATATTCTATTGCTATGTTTTTCTTTCTATCAAACATAAATATCTCTATTGAACCATCTTTATTGTCTTCACTTTTGAATATCAATGATTGAAATAACGTGATGGATCATCGTTCGTATCGTGAATGGACGACGTTGACCGGTATCAAGATGTTGTTTGGTCATAGGTATCTATGATGTCGATGATTGCACATATAGAAATTGAGTGTTGTTTTGTGAAAAGGTAGACAATATCAGCCGATATCTCAAACAGATTATGAAGATTCCAAACGTTCGATGGGTAAAAATGAATCTTGCTCTGTTGACAATACGTCAAATACGATTGATAAACCATCGTTGGTCGATAGCATCGATAATGTCAATCTAAAACAGATTGATGGAATACTACTACTTGTGATCAATAGATCCTTTGATTTAAAATCGATCACACCACCAGTTGTGAATTGATCGAGCAGTTTTTTTTGAGTACATATTCAACTTCGTCAGTTATACTCTATTTTAGAGTACTTATACTAATGATACTCGTTCTGATATAGATTTGCTGCAGTGCTAATCGAACGATACTCTGTCTTTCTTTGTCTCACAACTTACTTTCCATAATGAACTTATTCAATAACAAGACTTGGCATAAGATGTACTTGGTGAAAACGATGATCTGATTTCGAATCAAATTAACAAAGTTTGGAAGTTAACCTGGAAAATTTGCTAAAGAATTTAGAATGCCATCATATATTGACTTGAGATCAATTGTGGGAAGAACACAAATCCTCAGCTTGTACAGAATTGGGTGTGGGTGCGAGTGTGCGTGAAAAGAAGACGAACGCCTACACCCAACCCACAGCCTAGGTGTCATTTTTTTTCATTAGAACCTTACGGGTTATGAAGATCATATTGAGATTAAGTCATCTATTTATAAGAAAATGAAAATATGAGACACAGAAAAGATGAGTCTGATGAAGTGCATTACAGGGACGCTGACCACTGACCAGTTACTGATATATTTTATTTCAGATGAAAGATGGTTTTTCAGGAAGATTTATACAGTATTTTCATTCTCGCATTGAGAGTATTCAAACGAAACTGCGCAGAATACGTATCATCCGTCTGTTTGTTGAGTCAATTAGAGACAAAGAAATATCTTCAATGAGCAAGAGAAATGAAAAAACATTTTGAGAGTTGGCCGTATCTTCACGGCTATTTTTGGAGGCGACATTGCAAAAAGTTAAACGGAATTGAGAACTTTCACTGCGACTGTAAACTAAAACATACATCATAGACAATAAAGAAAGATGTGCTAGAAATGTTTCTATGGATTAATCTGCAATATTTCACTTTTTTAAGAACATGGTATTCGACAAGAACTGAAATTGAAGTTTTTATTTTTTTTTTTTATTAATAAAAAATCAACAATGGATTCATACTGACTTTTGTGATGAATCTAACTCGATTTCGCTATCTGAGTACTTTTCTAGAAAATAGAACAATCTACTAGAACTTTCGATTCTCAAAAGAAAATTGTAGTGATATTCTACAGCTAATTGTTCTATAACCCGTAGCTGATTATAAGTCATAACTAAGTAATAGAGATAAACAAAAAAAAACTGAATAGTTTACCATTTTTTCTTCAAAACTCAACAAAAATAAATAGAAGTCACGCAAAACTTTTCATCAAAAGATTATTAGAAAAAGAAATGTGAATGAAGATATGAGCAATACTATAGCTGCCACAAAGTACATATATGAGATTCAATCAACGAAGGAGTAAACTGTAACGGAAGACGGCAAATATTTAAATGAATATTTCGAAAAAAAAGTAAGCCGTCTCAAATTGCCATACTTGAGTTTAAAGTTAGGAGAATTACACGAGAAACAGCATAGTTTAGAAAAAAATGAAGAAAAACTAACAATATTTGCTTTATTTATGAAAATAGAATTAAGTCTTATATTCTTCTTCTTTCAGAAAAGAGTGAGCAAATCGTTAGATGAGCGTTACTTGTAATATAAATATATATATTATTTAAGATTGTTGACTTTTAGTGTTATTTAAAAACTAGAAAATGCATTTTGTACTATCTTAGACACCAATCAACAAAGTCGTTTAATAGTTGCATTATGGTATTTTATAACAAAAATATCGATGAATAAATTATATGATATAGTTACTTATTTTCCATCCTGGAATCAAACACAATTGTTTACACCGATTGATATTAATCAATTTGAGATGTAAACGACAAAAAAAACTCAATTTTGATTTAAGTTTTTTTCGCATCCATATTATAAATTTTAGGGCAAAATGTATAGTTATTGTTCGTTTACTAAATTTTATTATAACACTTTGGTCTAAATATCCACAAGATACAATATGAGCAATTGATAGTTCATTTTATAATAGTGATTTAACAAAATTAATTTTAACTTGTGTAATTAATCTAACATAACTAGGATTTGATATTAATAAGAAAGAAATTAATGCGAAATTATCTGAAAGAATATGTTTAGAAATTTATCATTTAATTGATTCAAATATTTGATGAAACAAATATTTAGATTGTTAATTTACTTAAATCAATGACAACTCATCTACCTGATCAATTATTACAATTTTTCTATGATATTGCATTAGAAATGACGAAAACTGATGGGTACGTATAGATGTTGTCTTATATCATAGAAATTAAACTGATGAATAAAAGTCAATCGGAGATATGAGTAAAGATCATAGATGTCAATCCTAGAATTTTTACACAAAATAACTCAACCTTGGTTTAAGACTCCAAAATGATACGAACAGTCATCTGTCAACAATACCAGAACTCTACAAAAAAATTCACTTAGACCAAGAGAGTGCAAATAAGATCAAAGATTTTGCCATATGCTAATCAATATATTGAATACTTAATAAAAACTAATAACGAAATAAAGAATGAGATAAAAACCAAAACGAATTCAAAGAATTATCAAGAATAGAATATTCAGTTAGTTATCATAAAATTTTCTTTTCACATATTATTATTAATCATAAAATATTCGAATATAATTTAAGAGTTTAAAATTTAATCAAAGAATTAAATCTGAATCCTGTTCTTTAATCACTTGTATTTACTGTTACTCGTGAGCATCGTCTTTTACGTCCTGTTCGGTTATTATCGAAATCATATCAATCTGAATAATATACGAAAGAATTACGAAAAATAATGTTAACGGTATTGTTTTTCAGTATGAATAAAATTTTCATCTAAAAATCTTTTTGTATTTACAGAAAATGATTAATCATGAAGAAGATTCCGATAAAGCAAATATCGTTTTAACTATCGATAATCAACGTAGTTTACAAACTAGCTTTGATCATATTATTTACTTAGGCATTGAGGTTAATTAATTTTCTAATCGAACAACATCAAATTTTCGCTATTTAATAGTCAAATGAAGTTTTACTATATTTATTTTAATCAAATTGTATTCATACGGATCCCGATAATTCGACCATTGGTACCTATCTGTTAAGATTATTTAAATATCAAATAATCAGTTGGCTTGATACTACTTCTCATTTTCTTATCGTTAATATCGATGAAATAAAAACAATTGATTAATGTCAATCTATTGTTTTTCTTCTTCGTATGTCAAACAATGTATATATTTGCTAATTATTGATTTTTATTAAAAAGTACACTATATCATTATGATACACCAGAATATTATGATTATCAAGGTACACTAAGAAAAATTTTATCTACAATTGAATCATCATAATTTTTATTATTTCTATAATTAATATCGATTTTATGTTGTAAACAAAATCATATATTTGAAATTGAAATAATTTCATCAATAAATCGTCTTATATTAGTGAATTAAATTATCATAAATAAACAACTAAACACCGCTTATATTGCATTAGAAATATTTTTATTATTTATGTTAAGATCAGTTACAAAAACAACATTTATTGAATTTTATAAAAAATCTATATATCATCATTTGTTATTCAACCATTTCATATTATTATTGATTTTATCATCAATTTTAATTAATTAAATATTTATATATCGTTTTATTGATAATATCTATACAATATTAAATAAAGATGATGTTTTTCGTTTGAATTCTTCAATTGCAATTATTTTTTATGAAACAACTAAAAAAACAAGAAAATTCGTAAATGATTAAATATGAATAACAATTATTAAAATTGAACAAATAATGGATCGAAATGAATTAACAAAATATGTTATTACACGTGTTCATGCACAATTTATTGATGGATAAATAATTAAATCAATAGAAATGATCTTAACAAATTTTCTAACAATTGAAAAAAAGATATGAAAATAAATTTAATTCATTCATTAACGCAATAAGTTCATTTTATTTCTTATTCCAGTATTAATTTGTACCCAAACAGAACGGTAAACTTTATAGTTTCTATTTTTGATGCCAATGCATCAAGGCTAAATAAACAAGAATTGGAAATTCTATTTTGATGGAGCAAAAGAATAATTTGTTAATCAGATAGTGAATTAAAGCTATATTCAATTAATCTTTTCAATAGCAACATAACTTACAAAGTATAGTTTTCCAAATTTCTTGATAGTTGAACAACTCTGGGTATTAATGATCAAAATAAATGCAGTCACATCCACACCCCTACTGGATTATAATAGTTCTTTTGTTTTGAAAGTTCTAAAAACTTTGATTCATTGCTAAAAAAAACTTTCTCGAGAGGTCAGCTCGTTATAAGAAATTTCATTACTTTCATAATCCATTATGATTTTCCTTCTACCAGTTGAATTAAATTATCGAACTAACCTTAATTATTTATTCTATAGGACGAATATATCTTTGAAAACATAATCGATCCATATTATAAATCTAGATATCCTCTTGAACTCGAACATTATTATAGAAAAGATAAATGTAGATTATTAAATATTTTATGTAAAAAAAATTCTTAGATCATCAAATAGTGATAATCAATTAAATCAACAACGTTCATCAACTACATTAAGTTATGTATCTATACTCAATATTTATTTGGTAATAGTTTAACAGAGGAATTAGATTTTTTTTTTTATTTTACATCCGTTGCTGCTAGTCAACAAAAAAAAATCATTTCACTAAAAATCAATTAAATTCTCTTTAAGAAAATTCTTTTGAAATATATTTACGTAAACAAAATGATGATCCAGCATTCATCGAAGGTATAGATATTAATTTTTGAACAAATTTTATTGAAATTGAAATGGATGCACTTAATTTAGATTGATGTATGGTGTCTATGATTTGCTTACTTAAACATATAGGAATAAACGATATTAACAACTGTTCAATCTGATATGCTACTTTCAATGATTTGTTTATATAACAAAATTTAGTGATACAACAATAGCATTTAATATAAAATTATTTATCATACGTCTTATTACACATACACATCCTATATTTAAACCTTATGCACGTTATTGGTTAACATCAATAATTCATATATGTAGTCAAATGTTTGAAAAACCTGTCAAAAGTTTAAATAGATTTTTTTATTGATAGAACATCAGTTCAACATCTTTTTAGAATATTTATTTCTTATTTGTACACATAAAAATTCTCTTGTTATGAAATTAAATTTCGATTTAATTAAAAAATTAATTGAATCATGGAATGAACATATATATATATACTAACATTAATTCTATATTGATCAATATATTAAATAAAAAGACAATGTCCTAAGTTTATCATTAATTAGAATATCATTAGTTAATTATATCTTATCTGATCATGAAATAAATGTTTTAAATGAAGAGAAATTTATAAATAAAACATTGTTAAAAAATGTGATTAATTTTTTTCAAAATATTTATGCAGCAACTGCACAAGCTATTCGAATATTGTTAAATGTTAAAAAATAAAAAAGTCAATCAAATGAATGTTTATTAGAACAAATAAGTTTTATATTAAAATGGTTAAGTGATCAAGCTATGCAAGATATATTTATAACATCTATTTATTCATTACAAAAACATCATCGAAATATTATTGATAAAACATATGAAATTCTATTTTCAAAAGCAAAAATTTTCTTTTCTATTTCATTTTACTCTTATGAATAAATTAATGTTTGATTTTTAAAAAAAAGCTTTATGAAGATTTTATAATCGAAATTAGAAATTTTTATGAAGTGAATACAGAATGAATGACATTTACGGCATAGTGAAAATTTACTTCTTTTATCCTCATAAAGAGTCTTTTTTTCTACGAATACTTGATACAATTCGTACTACTCACTACTATATCGTCGTGCTTAGTACTACAGAGTCTACAGAACAGAAATGTGTGCGAACAATTTTTTTGGTTTCGATCCCAGTTATTATCTCGAGTCAGAGAAAACTACTCCAGAATTTATTCATATTACACCTAAAATAATCTTTCAACACTCATTTTTTGGTTTATTTAGTTGACGATTAGTGCTTTTTTTTTCGATTACCTATCGTGAATTATACTCTGAGAGATATGACTTATAAGATCATTCGCTCAAAACTATAAAATATTTAACTATAGCAAGTACATATGTACAAATTTGTCTACATAGTCATTAGATAAATGATTGACTATGTGCACATCAGTGTGGATAGGCACTTCCATTAAAAAAAATCTAAATTTTCTTTTTATATCACTCAGCACATTCATAGAACATGAACTATTGAAAAGTTTTCAACGATCTCATTCTATATCAAACATTCTTGAGTTTTTTTTCGACATTCTTGAATTTAAACATTTTGCATATTTGATATTTTTTTGATATTGCTGATTTTTGAAAATTTTACTTCTTCGATGTATTGGTTTTCGAGATTTTGATATACTGTGTTTTGAAACTTTGCCGACGAATTAATAATGTATAGAACATAATCGAATAAAATAAGGATGACAAATTAGCAACATATATTAAGAAAGGACATTTATACTCATAACAATAAAAAAAGCATAACTTTGACGAATGTTAATCATGTAGATTGTTTGAATATATTCTCATATTGGAATATTTATCATTAGTCAGATATTCGACGTCATTAACATAAAATCAAATGACGATGAACAATATCAAGAGAAATATTCGATTGATAACGACATCTAACGGTTAACACCATTTAATCGTCAATTCTATTCTCCACTTATATATCAGTTTCATATCATTCATTTATTATTTGTTATCAAGATTCTTGGTTGTTGAACAGATTCCAGGTAAATTGAATTCAATGAAGGAGTCTGAATATTCAACAGAAATAATATCTGTCGTCTCTATGTTTTTGACATGGTAGAAAAAGGAAAAAAACAACCGTTTCCGACTATTCTAGTTAATATAAATGTTTAATAAATTGATGAGTTAAGTAAATATGAGAGCAAAGTCTGCGTTTCGATCGATCGAAATTTTAAAAAATCTTCTCGAAAAAAAAGTCCCTTATTAGAATTGTTTAGATTGACGTTTTAAAATATCTGTCTATTGAGAGTATATACTGATTAGTCAATAGTTATTAATATTTTATTAAATATATCTTTCTATTATCCTCGATAAACATATGTTTTTTTTTCACTATCTTATTATAGTTGAGGTTTTATTATTCGATTGATCCTATTCAATGGGATAATAATTGCAATCAATTTAATTCATCATACCACAGATGATAATAACGTACTTATTCGTCATATTCAAATTACATATTATTGATAAATAATAAACTATCTATCGGAAGATTTGATTGAGTTTTATTTTATCAATAATATTTAAAAAGAAAATAAATGAATTATTATTTAGGTTTAATATATGATAGATATTTATAAATCATTTTTCTAGTTCATTTTATTTGAATGACGACAACCACAATAAATAATAAATAAATCGATCAGATGAATTTATTATATATATTTTATAATAGACATATTCAAACCTTTTTCAAATATTTTTATTTCTAATATAAATATGTTTGAAATTTTTTATGATAAACTATCGAACTTAATCAAACATATGACGATCATATAAAAAAATTTCAACATCTTATTCATATTTATATAAAGCAAGTCTACTTTTGTTTATCAATAAGAAAATAATTGATTATTTATATATTATTATTTGTACTTTTACGTCGATATATAAATAAACCTTAATCATTTTACTTATTGTTTATTATAAAAGAAAATAAATGGGAAAGAATTATTTTAATATAGTATATATTAGACAAATAAGTTCAATTATATATATAAATATATTAACAATAATTAACTTAAAATAAATTTTATCGGAATAATCTCTATTTTAATTTAATCATTCATACAATCAAATATATTTTCAAATATATTAATTAATATTAATTAAATAAACTATGAATATTTTTAGAATAAACAAATACCTTTTAATTGAGTATATTCCATTCTTATGGCACTAACATATAGATCATTATTGTTAAACTTATCTATGTATATTATGTTCAATGTGTATCTGTGGGTGTCTGTGACAGGTCGAAGGCTAAAAGAGGGTAAGACTATATGGGATATAGGTGAAGAAAGTATGGAAGTGAGGAGTCGAGGGAGATATAGATAAGGAGAATGTGATGGTACAATGTGGACTGAGACGAATCTCTTATGAAAGTAACGTAGATGTGCGTGGGTATTGTTCTGTGAGGATAGATATCCATATATAGTTTGGTCTTTGAATAGGTGAAGTTATCTTTATATTGGAGATAATGAAGTAACAGTTTGAGCACCGTTAGATGGCATAGTCTTATTCGAAAGCAGCAACAGCGTACAAAAATAATTTCTGCGAAAATAGTGTTGGTAGCAGATCTAACTATGTCTTTGACAATTTCCTTGCCTTGAGAAAAAACCTTGCTTTCGATGATGAAAATAAAAAATCGTGTAGTCTGCACGAATTCTCACAGTTTATTATATTAATTAATTAATTGTTAATATTATTGAATTTACAAGCATATTTTAATCAGTGTATAATAAACAGGTGTTACTTTTATAATTCATATAGTGTCGAATAATTAAATTCATTTAGTTTAACTTGTTAATGATAATGATCAATGTAGAAATATGCTCATTTGTTTTAATAAATGATACACTTACTTATTAATGATAATAATTATTTCATATATAGGATATTATTATTTCTAGATATATATATATATACATATGATGACAAAATCAAATGTTTGTGAACAAGATGAAAAAGAATGGAATAATTATAATCTCTTTGCTTCCACAAGAGATGTTGAAGATGAACAAATAATTGAATTTGAAGGAAAAATTCCTGAATGGTTAAAAGGTACTCTTTATCGTAATGGTCCAGGAGCTTATGAAATAAATAATGATTTAAAAACATCAGTCAATCATGCATTTGATGGTTTTGCTTTTATTCAAAAGTATTCTATTGATGGACAATCACAATTAGTTCGTTTTCGTGCATCATTTATCAAATCACGTGCATATACTCAATCCTTATTAAATAATCGTTTAATGGTACGACAATTTGGTACAGATCCATGTAAATCAATATTTGGGAGATTTCAATCACTTTTTCGTCCTCGAGATCCAACAACATCTACTGATGATACAGGTATTACTGTTCAAATAGTACATAATCAATTATTAGCACTTACAGAAACAGTAACAGGCAATATTATTGATCCAAATACACTTGAATTAATAGGTCCACTTATAACATTACCTTATAGTCAATCAATGGATTCAGAAATCTTTACAATAACAACAGCTCATGTTATGCATGATGATAAACGTCAAATGACAATTGGTTTTAGTGGAAGAATAACACATAAAGGCCATTGGCTTGATGTTATATTCATATCAGATCACTCATTTAATCAAGATAAAACAGGTTTATTTTATTTATTTCATTAAGGAAAAAACAAAGATTCTTTTAAAATATAGATGATGATGATGATGATATTGATAAATGGATATCTGCTAACGATAGTTTTATTAATATAACAAATAAAATGAGTTCGAAAAGCAAAGATTATAATCGTTGTATTAAATCAAGTACAAAATTATATCGTTTTCCATATGAATATGCATGTTATATGCATTCAGCATCAATTAGTGAAGATTATTTAATTCTAACAGAAATTCCATATCATTTTAATACATTTTATGCTATATGGAATTGTATAGCCGGTGGTACACTAACAGATATGTTTAAATGGAATGGTAAAACGATGCCAACTTATTTTCGTATTATTTCATTAGATACAGGTGAACAAATAGCACGTATACCTGGTCCACCTTTTTTTACATTTCATCATATTAATTCTTATCAAAATGAACATAATAAAAAACAAATTCTTGTTGACATATGTGCTTTTGATGATCCAACAATAATAAATGAACTATATGTGGATAAATTACGTCAAAATATATTTCCTTCAGGTGGTGGTTATCTTAGAAGATTTCAATTAGATTTAGATTCAAATACATGTATTGAAACAAATGCTAATACAAGAGAACCGAAAGGAATTCATCCAATTAGTTATTCAAATAGTATTGTACCAGTTCAATTTGAATTAGGACGTATTAATCCAAAATATCTAACAAAACCATATCGATATATATATGGTGTACGTGCTCAACCTGGTCGTTTCTTTGATGCTTTAATTAAATTAGATGTTCAATCAAAAGAACAAGTAGCTTTATGGGAAGAAGCATGTACATCACCAAGTGAACCTATATTTGTTCCAAGACCTTCTGATAATTATGATCGAGAAGATGATGGAATTATTTTATCAATTATTTTAGATCAAATTAATAAACGATCATTTTTACTTGTACTTGATGCTATTACATTTAAAGAACTTGCTCGTGCCTATCTTCCTATACATATACCATTGTCATTTCATGGCAATTTTTATTAATTATTCATATATTTAACATTTTCTCTTAAGTTATATTAACATAGAAATAAAATTTTAAAAGAATAAAATTTATTTATGCGGTGACAACTCTCTTTAATAATTATATTATGTAAAATATTTCAAAGAATAATAGAATACTTATTTTTTGGTTATTTCATAAAAAAACGATATAAACTGTTTACTTTAAATGATTATTTCCAAGAGCTTCATCATAAATGTTTATTTATTTTTGTTTCATAAAATAATAAGAATGTAGGATGTAGATTCCCTCTATTTCCTATGTTTCAAACATCCGTGAATGGTTGCAAAGGATTTCTGTGTAATTAATAGTGTTACTATGGATAGTTATCGCTGGTAATAAGCTGCTTTCTTTTACAAACTTTCCCAGCAGAACGCCATAAACTTATGTGAAAAGTTTTCTCACTTCAGTTAAAAGCAGTTCACCTAATAACATAATAAACCTCATTTAGAATAACCTGAAACCTGTTCAGTCAAACGAAAGTGAAATGATATGTGTTATGAAAAAGTTGCCGCTGGCACCGAACAATTTTTGCAGTCAAGCACTGTTGAGCAGATATTCTTGAGCAACTATGCTTGAAGGAGCGGGTGTGGGTGTTGATTTTATGATTCTCCATACCCACACAACCACAATAACAAGAACGGCTTGATGACACTGCGCTACTATTTATTCTATTGGTGCTATTTTTTTCATTCGATATGAAAAATGATAACTAAATCTGATAGAGCGACGCATAAAATTCTAAAAGACTTTGTCTGAGATCAATGTGCATCTTCGACTAATGTTAGAACATTATTTTGTGGAACTTTATTTCAAATCATATTATTAGTTTAGAAAAAAAGAGCGATAGATAAGACACATGGCTGTCACCACTTTTTAATCGTTCCTTTTTGTATACATTTCGACATTTATCCTAAAGCAAAGAATAGGAATCAGGTACACAAACGACTAATTCACTCACGTGTATCAACACGAACTCTTATCAATAACAAATTTTTGCACACGATGATTTCCATAATCGACTACATAAAGATTTCTGTCAAGATCGAATGATATATCAGTGGGATGATTAAGCTGACCTGATTGAGAACCTTGACCATGACCACCGACGATGATACTGCCGGATTTCGCACCACGTAGCCATCGCATTATACGGTCATTATCTCTGTCCGACACATAGACAGTATCCAACCGATCGACAAAAACACCCAGTGGCTCTGATAATTGGTTTAGTTCATCACCTTCAGTACCACCAGCAACAATTGAGATTTTCGTAGATTCATCGTCCAATTTTATCACTCGGTCAGTGGCCATTTCAGATATGTAGACAGATCGATTTCGATCAACGAACATATAGTACGAATAACCAAGTCCTGAAATGATCAGTTGTTCAATCGTCTCACCAATACGCCGTTTTCTCACTGAGTGATTTCCATAATCAGATACATAGAGTGATCTTTCATCATCCAATGCTACACCAAGAACAGGAATATTTTCAATAATTGTTTGTCCACTTTGACCACCTCGAAACCATCGTTGAACACGTTTATTACCATAGTCACTAATGTACATTGTTCCATCTTTATCGATGGCAACATCGAGCGGATATTTCAATGGATCACTACGATCTCCCTCTCCATTACCACCTGCGACTACCTGACCACTTGAAGCACCGCGATTCCATTTCACTATACGATGATTATAATAAACTGCTATATAAATAGTTTGATTATTATCAACAAAGAGACCCTCTGGCAAATTCAACTGATTGAGCGCAGATCCTTCACCATTGCCACCAGCCACAGTTTGGCCATCTTGAGAGACCAGGTCGCTGTTGCACAAATGCTGTCGCCCGATCTTGGTGGAAAAGGCAGAGCTAAGCAAACGAAGGGAGCGAAACATATCAATATGTTCAGTAATACAGATCTATTTTTTGTTTATCAAGTTGAAATTTGATGTCATTTTATCAGTATTGAAAATATTGAAATCTATCGGTTTCATGAACACTATATGTATACAGATATCGACACTTGATATCATACTGGAAGGATTAATCCTAGCATATACGATAAAAAGAGGAGCAAATATTGTTGTACGATCTCAATGAAACAAGTTGAGAATAAATCAAGTAGAAATGTTATGTATCACTGGTCGTCCGATGAATAACAACTGACTGTTTGTCGTATTGAGACCAGTATACTAGGGAGAAAAGATGGACTCTCGTACTTGAAGTTATTTTGCGCTACTTTAAAGTACTTCGAAGTAATTTAAACTACTTCACACGAACTTTTGACTACTTTAAGCCACTTTTAAGGTACTTCAAAATTTCTCAATACAATTGCAAAGACACATTTAAATATTAGGCTATAGATCGTTTTGTCGTTGCTAATTAATAATATAACATAAAAAACTCAATGTATACGAGAGAAAAACAATACAAATTATAGTAATAGACAAACATTTCAATGACTGATTTAAAAAAAAAGATAAAAACGAAAAAGATCGATGATGATACGCGAGTTAAAATCAAGAGAAACGAGTGCCGTCATAGAATCCTGAAATTCTATGGAGTCTGACGGAATTTGTAGAATTCCAGAGATGGTCTTTCAACAACTGGATTAAAAACTCTTTGAGGAAAATTTTTTAGGAAAACAGTTTTCTCAGACAACATTTACTTCCATTTTTGAAAAATTTTCGCTTCATGAATCAAGTTTTTTCAACTCCATTGAATAATTGTTCTTCCCTTCATTTCAGCTTCCAATATGAAATATGTTTTCATTTATTTAAGGTAACATTGAGCAAACGAATGTCTTGCATTTCTTTCAAGTTCACGTTCATTTTGCAAGATAAGAGGTGAAAGCATAGGCGTTTTTGACAGCTGAATAGAGAATATCTATTTCTCTTATGATTCTAAAAGAAATGAGTTTCTATTTTATTGAATTATTCACTTTTCGGCTCAGAGTTTCTCCGCTCGATTCCAAAAAGCTGTCGTGCTTCGGCGACATGCTCTTCTGCAACAGATACTGAATTGGTAGTTCTAATTATGGCCATTTTATCATCAAAAAATGCAGATTTTAACAAGTGAAGAAAAATTTTCGTTGCCTGGCATTTTTCAAAAAAAAAGAGTCAAAAATCAGAATATTATAAAGATGACACTTTTCAAGGTCATTCTTCATTTCACTTTATTTTGCAAATACAGTGAAACCTCGCATAGATGGGCACCTTTGGGACTATTTGAAATCGCCCACCTTACGGAGGTGCCCGCGTTATAGAGTTTTGTGTATAGATATCGAACCGTAATGTTTCTGCAAGCTACACCATCAAAGGGCACCCATACTTATGTATTGTGAAGCGACCTTTATATCTTTGAGTGTATTCAATATTTTATTCTAAATTATTTGATATCTTATTTTGTCTAAGTTTATTTTCTATTTTCGTATTTACAATCAAGCTTTTGGAAAGAAATCAATAATAGAACTTTGCTTGTTAGTTTTTGAATCAATGTAAGCATCAGTCAGTTTCGATTCTAATTCAGTGACGAGTTGATGGAGTTGTGGTTGACGTGTAGATGCGAGCAGATAAAGTTTTCGAATCATTTCAAGAGCTTCCACAAGTGATCAGTGAAGCAATTCAATAATATGGCACGTATTATAAATTATGTGTTGCTCTCAAGAGACTTACCCGGATGAAAGCCCGATTGCTTCAGCAACTTCGCGTGCCTTTTCTTGAATCAAGGGCCCTGAGATTGGAATATGTTTTGCCCTTTGTGCTGCGAACCATGATAAAACAGTTTCATCAATGTTGTGGCTTGACTCATTCTGCAGTTTGCGTTTGACACCTTTGTTTGCATTTGATTGGAAATCCTGGTTGTATTCGTCTTTTCGTTGCAGAATATTATATACAGCACCTTTTGACACCTTGTACTTATCACATAATTTGCGTTGTGATAATCCAGTGCCATCAGCATAGTCGTTGATCAATTCGATCTTCTTATCGAGCGTGAGATAATGAAACGTCGTCATTTATTAATGATATTGAAGAGTAATGTCAAATAACATGACAATTTATACTCTTGTTCTCATTGACAAAACGGCAAAAAATGTATCGACGAGTAATTTTCTTTTTTACATCGGACTAACTTTTTTCTTTCCCTTTCTTCGAACAAGAAGGTACGACGAGAAAAAGAACAATGTTGAAGAAAATATTCATTCTCTCTGCCCATGTAAGAGAGGTGTAAAAGTACAGAATAGGCTAAAAATCAGTGCCCATGGGCAGAGGTCGGAGGTGCCCTTCTTAGAGAGGTTCATTTACAGCAAAAATCGATCGGTCGTTCCGACGAGTGCCCATATAAGCGAGGTGCCCTTGTTATGGAGGTGCCCATATATAGAGGTTTCACTATATATATATTGATCTGGATAAAAAATATACATTCGCCTGTTTTGTTTGGTGAGCATTATTTTTATAACTATTCACCTTTATTCTTTATGGATTGGTCTCAGCAAGAGAAAAGAGAAAGTATTAATATCGCTCGTTATTCAATGTATGTTTGGACGATTGGAAAATGATATATATCTGTTTTATTTATACAATGTGTTTGATCAGATTTTTCTAACGTAAATGACGATTGCTGTTTAACAAGGTGACAACCACAGAAACAAGAGCAGAAAAGACAATATGTCATACATAAATGATGATAAAGCATTGAAAAAACTTAAAGGAAGAAGCAATAAAAAGAGACTTGTTTTGCTTGATGTGGGTGTGACGTAAGGATGTGAATCTTTGGTATCTTCATCCACAGCCATATCTCGCCGCTACACCCCACACAGCCACACTCGATTTTAAGATCTAGTTAGACTATCGAAACAGAGTCAAATAATTATTCAGAATTATAATTTATCATAGATTCATTTCTATTAACCATGACCAAGAAAAAGACAAAAAATGGATTTCATTGTGTCGCCATTTTCGGTAATTCAACTAAACAGTGAACATAGTAGAAAATTTTGATATATTGACTCAGACAGTTGAAGACACCATTTCTGACGTTCGAAGTGATGTTCCTTGATATTGATGTATGTGAGAACACTAATATATAGAATATGCCAATCGTTGAAATATATCAAGAGTTGAAGTATACTTAAGAGATACTAAGAGAATGCTTGTCAGAATAAACAATATATAACTAGTGTCACTGTAATCAAAGCACAGCTTCTTTCCGACAAAAACTATCTAGACTATTGTTGAACTACTGGTGAGAGCCAATAAAATCTTTTTTCCAAAAACGTATCTAAGATGAGATACAGCACGTTGCCATTATGAATATATATCCTGTAGCACCCTATAACTTTCAAAATGATGTTCTAGCTTTATCGTAGAGCAGCAAAGTGCTACAAGACTCTAATTTTCATTAATTATTTTTTTGCTGTTTCCAGTAACGATGTTTTTCTAGCACAATAGAGTAAGCCGATTTTTATCTTTAAATTCTTACATCAACAACAGCTGTATTTTTTACGGATGAATTCAGTTACACACATAAAACAATGATAACGTCAAACGAGCAAAAAGATTTTATTTTCATCTTTATAGACTCGAGTTTTACACGATGAAGTTTAACTGAGAAGGTTATAAATACTTATAATGTTGACCATATTGAGTAATCTAAACTAATAGACTTTTCTAGTATATTTCATTATTCTAACATGTGACTTACAAGACAATGTACAATCGCTATTGGTATCTACAGCTATACTATTTTTTTTAAATACGAAAAGTTTTCTGTTTGCATTTATCTATACATTAATATCATTGACTGTTGGAATGCTTGTGCAACGAATATACTCTTTCAAAAATAATCATAATTTTATTGAATAGAACAATACACTTAATTTAATGTAATAGTTTTCTCATGCTGCATGTTTTATTAATATGTTAGAACAACATCACATCTTTTGGTGCTTTATTAAAATAAACAAATAATGTTAGCGTTTATATTATGATTTCTGCCATACACGCATAATGTTAGCTATAAAAACATCAATAAAAATATGATAAAGAAATTATCTTTGATAATCTTCCTAAGTACTTATGTGTTTGTGCAGAAATAAAAACATGCAATCATTCATCAGGTGAAAACACAGATATTTCTTCCCATTCACAATGGTTTTAATATTTGAAGAGAAACTCATCTTCTATCTGTTTATGACACCTTCACAAAGTGAGAGAAGCCACTAAGAAAAATAAAACATATTAAGATATTTCTCACGAAATTCTTTTTTTGTAAAAATGAATTTTTATTACTCATATAAACGAGGTTGACAATGCAAAGTGGTAAGAAAACAAGCACAGAATAACATCTGAGATAAGAGAAGTATAGAATGGAATGCGAAAGAGGAAAAGCGAAAAAAAATCATCGTATTTACCTGGATTTTTTTGCATATATTTAATGGATCTCTAGCAGGTACTTATTTATTAAAATAAAATATGTCGAAATGATGTGTATTCAAATTATCTATATCATGAAGGATAAGAGGTCAAAAATTTATTATCTTTTACATATCTATGCTGAGATATCAATTCTTTTGAATAGTTTTTGCAGTAAGACATGAATTAGAAATAAGCTCATATTGATGAGCTTTCTGATACAATTTCTAGATATTTATTGAATTTTCGTCAGTATTTAATTATGTAGATAATTATTTACTGCGCATTGTTTTGTTAGTATCTCCGTTGTACTTCATTATATATGTCACATCCGAATTTATTTGCTATATCAATCCCTAGATATTTGAAGCATTTAACAAAATCAATTTGTATACCTTTATATTCCATTATGGGAACAATGGAGCAATAACATCATAGACAAGTAATATATGTCATGAAATTCCTGATATTAAAGAGAACTA